TGCGCTGCGATGAGTTGGCAAGGCGCTGTCCATAGACAGCGAGAAGATGTAGCGGGACTCGAGGGTCGAGGCGCTCAAGGTGCATGCAAACAGGGGGAAGCTGAGCAACAGACCTCGGTGCGCGATGAGGGTCGGGGCTGGCGCCGCCAACTGGGCTCGCGCAGCGTGGGAGATAACGCCGTTCCAGGAGGTCGCAGGCACGTCAGGGGGTTCGGAGCCCGACCCGCACATCAAGGGGAACATCGGCGACGTTCGCGACCAGATCAATGCGCTCACCAACGGGGACAACCAATCCTCCGTCGCGGAGCTCTTCGGCGCCCTCGCGGCGGCCGTCGCGCGCGAGGTGCGTGCCAGGCAGGTCGAGACCTTCTCAAAGAATTTGGATAGCCTGGACGACTCCGAGAGCACATCGAATGCCGAGCTCATTTCCCTGAATAGCGACTTTTTGCAAGCGATTGACCAGGGGGTCAACGCCATCTTGACCTACTACGACAAACTCGCCGACAACATCGGGGCGATCTATAACGCGCAGGCTTTCCGCGTCAACGCGGCATCGGATGCTAATTGTTTCAAGTTTCTCCCAGGCGCGGCAAAACTCCCCCTCAGCTTCGAGATCGGGGTTCCAGAGAGGGCGACGATCCAGGAAGCGGAACCTCGGGCCGATTTATCAGTCTTCGCGAACGACGCGAAGATGTGATCTCCTGATAAGCCCGTGGAGAACGCGATCTGCATGTGGCGTGGTTTCGTTCGTGCAGAGCTTGCCGAATGCCGAGCGCATTGTCACCGAGCTCAAGGGGCCCTTGAAGAGCCTCGCCTGGGTGGAGGCCGCGCAGAGGCATAAGCTCCACGAGCTCATCGCGAGCACGGGATCGATCAAGAAGATCGCCATGGATGGCGCCATTCTCATGGGCGCCATCGCGCTCGCGAGCTCGGCCCTCACAGGCGCCGCGAAGGAGGCCACGAAGAAGTTCATCTTCGAGCGCATCGGGGCCCAGCAAACGGACTTGCCCAAGAAGCTGCTGGAGGTGCTCGAGGAGGCGGGCAGCGGCCACGAGCTTGCTGCCACCGCGGTGGCGGAGGAGGAGGCGGCGCCGACGAAGGCGCCAGCAGCCGCCGCCGCAACCTCCGTGGCCCTTCAGCCCCCGCAGAAGAAATGCAAGACCGAGGAGAAGTACATGAGGAGCCAACAACGATCATGATGAAACATATAGTTATGTGAAGTGTTCCGTGGGAGCTGTTTCTCCGAGCTTCTCCTTCAGAGGTGCCCCAGTTATCTTCGGAAGTTCCCCTACATATGATCGGCTCATTCTATGTCTGAGGGGTCTAAAGGCTTGCATCCCAGCAGATGCGTAGGCCTTGGAAGGCCCTCGCCGCGTTCCTCCTCCTCCCTTGTCCCGATCAATACCGACCCTCCTCCTTACAGCCCCCCTCCTCTTCTGAGCTCCTCGACCTTGGACCGCCCACCCCGAAACGAAATGTGAACACGTCATCCTTCCCCGCCTCCCCCTTCAGAGAGCCTTTGTGCGTCGAGTTCTTGTTTTTGCTGGCAACAGAGCTGGTGGTGGGAGCTGCAGATGGACAGCAAGCAGTTGCGCGCCCCTGGAAATCAGAACGATTGAACGTCGAAGGCCTGCTGTTCATTCGTCGCCAGGTAGTTTGGTGAAATATCTAGCTCCTACCTGTTCCCCCTCTGGCCTCCTCCACCTGCTCCTCATCCTCCTCCTCCCTCCTCCTCCTCTTCCTCCTCCTCCACCTCCTCCGTTTCCTCCTGACTCCCCTGGCCTCCTCCACCACCGCGCCTCCGCTTTTCCAACGACGGTCTCTCCACCCCCATCCTCAGTCACCTTGACCTCACCGTGCGTCCCTCACGAAGATGGACGTTGCGAAAGCGCATTCATTACATATGCGAAATCGATAAGGCAACGTTTCAGACAGCACATGTGGCAACGGCTGTGGCTATTTCGTTGTGTGGTATAGATGAGATTTCCAAGCCAGGGCGAGCGGGGCATCGCTACACCCTATCATTTCACAATTTGTTTTGCCCTCCCACCCCTCAAGGGCGGCCCCGGCGGAGCGAGAGGGGTGTTTCTATACCATATACCGTTTCGGTTTTGTCTTGGTCCTCCCACCGCACCCGAGGTAGCCCCGTCAGAGCGCACGGGGTGTGGATATGCTATAAATTTCCTCCAGTTTCGTGTTCCCCCCTCCCTTCCTTGGCAAGCCCCGCCAGAGCGCCAGGGAAACCCCCGCCAGAGAGCGCAGGGCATCCCTACATTTCACGCGGCTCTTGCTCCCCCCACCCTTGCAGGGCGGTTATCAGGTTTCGTGCCACTCCCTCACCTCTTGAAAAGTTTCGCCGGAGCGCCAAGAAGGTACCGCCAGAGCCCCCGTCTGAGCTCCAGGCATCCCCATACATGGGATTTCCCGGGCAAATCATTGAGCATCCCCCGCGAGCCCGAACCTTCTGATCCCACGGGCGCGATTATCGCCAGCATGAATGTTGGCGCCCACCGCAAAGAAGCCCCCCCACTCCCGTGGACGGATTCGACAACAACTGATTGCAGCGAGGGGCGCTGATGGCCGGGACATCTGCACGAGCCTTTTGCAGATGCCCGCCCGCTGAAAATAATAATAATAATAACAATAATAATAATAAGAAGAAGAAGAAGAAGAGTAACATATACATATATAGATATAAGAAAAACTTGAGCACAAGGAAAATGACAACAGCAAAGAACGCGATCCCACGCGCGCGCAACGAGGCCCCGAGCCAACCCCAACACTAGGAGCCGGCGGACGTGTGCGTGATCGGGCATGGGGAGACCGAACAAATGTGCAAAATGATGGAATGTCACGACGTGGCAGAGCGGAAGTGAAGATGGTGAATAAATAAGTCGCAGCTCGACGAACCAAACAAAAACGCGAGCGAGATTGTGAGATACGCGGGAACGTGGCGGAACGCTAGAAATCTTCGTCGTGGCCATAGCGGAACTTACAGCGGCCCCCGTGGCTCATCTGCGATTAGAACCTCGGCGCGCGCGTGGCGCGCGCGTGTTTCTAGTATATGTGTATATATATGTATAAATATATATATATATATATATATATATATATATATATATGTACATGCATGCATGCATGCATGCATGCATGCATACATACATACATACATACATGTATATGTATATGTTGTATACATTGGCACGTAGGCATATATCGACTGATGTGTGGATCGATACACATATCGATTTGTAAATCGATAAACCGGAAGATGGATAGACTGATATATCATTTTTCCGATGGTGATCCCGATGGTTGCCACCATAGATTGCGATATCGACAGGTGATACCGATTGATAGATGCGGAGTCCGATAAATAGGCAGGCGTAACGTTAGACGGTAGGTATCTAGAAATGTAGGTCGCACAGCATATGGATGTATGGAAATACATGGAGGGAGTGTGTAGCAGAAGGTATGTCTATGTTTATACATACATGTTTGTATACGTATGTATGTAAAGGTTGTACATATCGATGGACATTTTTCTATATGCATGAATTGTGTGCATTGGTCTTCTGACGCGTGTCAACTCGTGAGTTGAGACTGTGCGTCCAACGCACATCGAATGTGGCGTCAAGCCCATAGCCCCAACCGCACCCCAAACCTTGTCACCCGAAGGGGAGCTCAAGAGGTACCGGTAGCAAGTTGCGCGTGCACAGGAACCATGCTCTTGTATAAAAACACGTGTTGATCCACACGCGTGTGTGTATTCCAGATCTCGTAATAAAAGGGAGGGGGTCTGGACCCTCCAAGACGAGCCATTTCAGACCCCCCCCCGTGGGAGAACCCTCCAAAACATCGTCCCCAGACCCCCCCAGGCCCTCCAAGACAGCCTGGCAGAGACCCCCCCCCCGAAATGAGACCCCCCTCCCTTTTATTACGAGATCTGGAGTATACACTGTCCCGAAGCTACGCCGGGCCTCGCCACGGAGCCGTGGCGTGTGGGCGGGGATGGTGGTTCGAGCATGGAGTTGGCCCCCCGCGTTTCTTGTTCGGTCATCGACTGCACAGAAAAAAGGTTGCGCCACATACTCCAGATCGCGTAATAAAGGGAGGGGGGTCTCATTTCGGGGGGGGTCTCTTCCAGGCTATCTTGGAGGGCCTGGGGGGGTCTGGGGACGATGTTTTGGAGGGTTCTCCCACGGGGGGGGGTCTGAAATGGCTCGTCTTGGAGGGTCCAGACCCCCTCCCTTTTATTACGAGATCTGGAGTAGTTTGCGCAACATGGCGTGCAACACGCGGCTGCAACGCATGGATCGCATTGATACATAAAAGGCGCCACTGAGATTGCGCCACACAGCTTGCAACAGGTGTTTGTGCGTGATGGGCATGAGCTCGCACCTCGTGGCTTGCTCCACCTAGACTGCGCTACGTAGCTTGCACACCACGGTTTGCACCGCATGGGTTGCCTTACGCATAAGGCATCCCATAGACTGCCATATACCCACATTTCGCCGCAAATTTCGCAGATCGCGCCCACGTGTCTCAATAATTGAAGACAGTGCGAGCTCAATCACTGACACGAGAGGCGCAATCTCTGCTGCCACAAGCGGCAATGGGCGTCTTGCTGGCGCGAAGGTGCAAGATCGTGCGCGCCGAAATGCCATGCCATTGTGTCGTGGTGTTTCGAAGGAATCAAAGGCAACGGGTTTGCACAAGTAATGGAGGACATTATTTGGGCGTGCTTGCCAGAACGTGATTTCGGTGGGTGGAGTTGCCGTGCCGTGGTGCTGTGCCCTGGTGGGGCGCCATGTATTTGTCATGAGGCGGACTGTGACAGTGCGCTGTCGTCTCGTCCGCCAGAGGTGCCGTGCCATGTTGTCGTGGTGTGCCGCGCCGTTCCATGCCGTGGTGCCGAGCCGCGCCGTGCCGTGCCATAGTGGACGTGGCTTCAGCACGTGCGACGAGGCATCGCGAGGCTGATCTCGTCGGCGAGGGGTGACGCCACGCCCTGCGGTGGCGACGTGCCGTGCCGTGGCGTGGTGCACGTCATTCGAACGCCATGCGGCGTGCCATGTTGCGCCGCGGGTGTCCGCCATTTTTGCGGGGGCGATGCTGGAATCGGACAGTGCTTTTGTTTCCTATCAGGAGAGGAGGCTTGGCTCGGGCTCGTTCGGGGAGGTGTTCAAGGCAAAGGTCGCTTCCTCCGGGCTGCTCGTGGCGGTGAAGCGCGTCCTGAAGCAGCGGGAGAGCGTGATGAAGGAGTTCCCATGTGGTAATATGCGCGTTGGTACCACATCTTCCACATCAAGGGTCGCATGTTCGGGGGAGTCTGGATTCTCGAACCTGCATCACACCCGCCCCCACAGCCAAGAGGCCTCGGATGCGAGGGGGAAGAGGGTCAGTGCTCTTATGTTATACGTCTCCTGCAGAGGAGTACATGATACTGCAGGGTCTGAGCCACCCTCACGTCCTTCAGGTGATCGGCCACTTTGAGGACGAGAATAGCCTGTACGTCGTCTCCGAGTTCCTGTCGGGCGGCTCCCTCACGGACCTCCTGCAGCAGCAGAGCGCCCCCTTCTCGGAGGCGTGGGGGGCCCTGGCGATCCGGCAGACGCTGACCGCGATGACGTACTGCCACTCCGCGGGCGTGGTCCACAACGACCTGAAACCGGAGAATTTGCTGCTGAAGAGCCTGTCAGTCAGAGCGGGGCTGCACATCTCGGGCCGAACGAAGGGGGGGGATAGGGAAAGGGGGGGTTACGAAATCTGCTGCATGCAGCTGGTTTCGGCCCCACCGAGGGGCCCATTCCTCGATACATAGCCGCCTCTGGCGCCGGGAGGCGCCGGGAAAATCAGCTACGTGAGCTAATTATCAAAACCCCCCCTTTGCTATTCCCCCCCTTTCGCCCGGCCCGAACATCGTGGTCTCCGACTTCGGCCAGGCTTCCTCTGTGTACCAGCCTGGGCAGTGCCCCTTGAGCGACCTCCCGCTGGGCGACCCGAGGTACACGCCTCCGGAGGCGTGGAACGGCCAGACGTGCCACGGTGTCTGTTCCAAACCTGGAGATGTCTGGATGATAGCTTGCACATTGTTCGAGATCCTCTCCGGCGGGTCTCTCCCCTTCCTGGGCCGCAAGAACGTCTCGTTGCAGGAGTTCAAGAGCTGGTGCGCGACGACCCCTGGTTTCGTGATTGAGTGGGTCGGCAGCTTTTGAAATCGGGTTGGCGCAAACGACGTGGCCGTGGTTTTTTCGGAGTCTGACTTGCAAGCGCGCGCAACGTATGTTATTTTGTAAGAGAGTTCATTATTTGAGTCGCGTTCGACCCTCAGATCGTGACTGGAGAGTGAAGTGTGCGTGTGCCATCAGGCTTGATCGGAATGGGAGGATCGCACAATAGTAAAGGGCCCCCCACACCATGCTGTTATGTAGTGCAGGGTCGCTATACTTTGCTAGTATACCCTAAAGTGAAGTACCACATCAGAGTGAGGGGGCCGAAGGTCATTCATTGTCCCTGGGTGCGTGGTTGAAATGGGGATCCGTGGTGAGGATTCTGCTTGTTGCGTTGTTGTTTGTTTTTGTCGTCGTCCCACCCGCGACCCACCCGCGACCCGCCCCGCGACCCACCGCGCGACCCAACCCGCGACCCACCGGCGACCCAACCCGCGACCCACCCGCGACCCACTTGCGACCCACCCGCGACCCACCCCGCGACCCACCCGCGACCCACCCCTCGACCCATCCGCGACCCACCCGCGACCCACCCGCGACCCACTTGCGACCCACCCGCGACCCAGCGCGCGACCCACCGCGCGACCCAACCGCGATCCACCCGCGACCCACCCGTGACCCATTTGCGACCCACCCGCGACCCGCCCGTGACCTACCCACATTGGTTTAACGAAAAATTCGGCGCCTGCAGCGGGCTCGTCGAATAATGTGTGAAACTTTGGCGGGCTTCTCCAGACCCTCGCAAACTGCCGACGTCCCCACCGCCCCCTCACTCTTATCCGCATCTGCGGGGTGCTACGTAGCAGCAGATTCCACCACACAGCACCACTCCGGCAACGGGTTCGATTCGTCATGTGATCACACCCCACCAGACCGCCCCGTACAGGCAACAATCTTGACACGGGCACCGCAGGGCACCATGAGGCATTTGATTAGCAACGGATTCAACACTTTTTTTTACCTGCGCGGAGGAGCCCTGTGGCAGCAGCGGGTTCAACACGAAACCGCACGGCCTTTCACGGGCAGCGGGCTTGAACACGTCACCGACCATCACGAGCATATTGGAACGGTTTCGGCACGACACCGCAGGGCACGGGACGTACAGCTTGCTCGACACAGCACGGCATTAGCAATGGATTCGTCACAGCACACACGGCACCATGGCAACACACGGGCATGGCGTCATACAGCGTGACATGGCACCACATGGCATTTTACGGGCAACGGATTCGCCACAAACCCACACGGCACCATGGGCTGCGGTTTGGATTTGGCACCACACGGTATTATCCGGCATTTTGCTCATTGTGCAGTGGGAGATATACGGCCCTCTAATGCCGTAGGGCACCATGTTGGCAACGGATTCGATAAGTTTGAAAGCATGTGCGTTGTCCAAGGATCCAGAAATATGGGCAGTCATTACAGTATTCGTTGTTGAGGGAATCAGCATTGGAGGCGCGGCTAGTGGAGACCATTCGGTCAATAGTCAGTTGTCCCGTAGATTTGCCAGCCCAGCACGTTTGGTGGCAATGGACAGGAAGGCGTAACGCGTGTCACTTCGTGCCCAGAAGCGGGCCGTCTTGGGGTGGTCTAGAGCTCCTGTGGGGCAGTCTTGAGGTCCTTTGGTCCACTTTGGGCTGCGTTGGGGCCCTCTTGGGCCGTCATGGGATCTCTCGAGCCGTCTTGCAGCCCGTTTGGCCGTCCGGGGGGTCTTTTGCGGCCGTCGTGGAGCCGTCTTGGGGCTGTCTTGCGGCCGTCGAGGGTCATCTTGGGTCCTCTCGGAGGCCATATGGGTCAATTGGAGCTCTCTTGGAGCCGTCCTGGGCCGTCTAGGGCCCTCTTAGGCTGCCTTTAAGGCCGTCGTGCAGGATTATTGGGCAATTGTTGGGCCGTCTTGGGCCACCTTGGAGGCTCTAGGGCCGCCTGGAGCTCATCGAAGCCCGGCAAAGCGACGACGCTTACAAAGTCCAACACTTCAAGTACATCAACGGTTTTGGTTTTTGGGGCTCTACTCGGGGTCCTCTTGTGGCCAGCTTGAACCGTCTCGAGGCCTCTGGGGCCGTCTCGAGACCATCTTGGGCCGCCTCGGGGCCGTCTTTGGGGTGTCTGGGGCCATCTTGGTGGCCTTGGTTGCCTGCCTCGGCTGTCTTGGAAGTTCGGGAGCGCGGAACCGTTCTGTTTTGCAAGGGGTCGCGGCGTTGGGAGCGTTACTCCGCAGCTCTTTTCCTTGTGGGAGGGATCGCGGCCTCGAGAGCACCTTTTGAACGCTGCGGTTGGCGTTGCAAATATGGCATGCGATGTGGCGCCGCCGGCCCGCTCATTACACGCCACCCCCCACCCCTTGGGACAGCGTGCACCGAAGAGGCTCTGACAGGGGGGTGGCGTGCGCAGCAGGGGGCCCTCGCGGTGGGGATCGCCTCACAGGGACAGCGTGTTGCTCGGAGGTCGATGCTGCACGCAATCTTCCCAACGCCAGCCGTATGGGTTATAGACGCAAGAAACGGGACAATCCACCACACGGCACCAAACTGCATCGTGCGGAAAAGTTGTTCAAGAACCCCTGGCCAGTCACCACACGGAACCACGCGGCACGGCACAGGAGAATGGATTCGAGCATTCGGGACATGGCACCGCATGGCACCGTGCGGGCAATGGATCCAAGAGTTCTTCGGCCGCGGTGGGTTTCTAAGCAGCAGGGTCGAGAACTATCATGTTGATGAGCCAGGGGCGTAATTTTTGGTCGTGGACCTGACATTGTGAAGACAGTCGGAAACATGTATATCAGCGCGCAGATGCCAATACATTGACACACGTATGCATAAACGCATACGCAGCGCAAACATATTTGCATGCACATGCCTACTCAAAGATGATTTGGCAGTGGGGATAGTCGCGGTTTTGTCGGGGGGCACTGATTAGTTGAACGAAGAATGACATAAACATAAGAATTCGGAGGTCCGCGCGGATTTCTCGGATCGGCGCTGGAGCCCCTCCCTTGGCGCGTGGAGCCGCCAGGGGCGGCGCCGGAGGCGCCGCCAGGGGGCCCCAGCGCGGATCCGAGAAACCCGCGCGGACCTCCGAGTTTTCATGGTTCCCCTACTGGCATCAGTCAATTGGGCGGGGAGGGGGTATGTCGTGCGCCAGGTCAACTGCCTCAAGACAGGGACGCCGATGTGGCAGAACTTTGTCGAGCCCCGCTCGTCGTCGTCCCGAGACTGCATCCTCCGAATGCTTGCGAAGACCCCGGTGCAGCGGCCCAATTGCGAGCAGACAATGGAACACACGTGGTTCTGGGAGCAGGTCGGGGGTCAGAAGCTTACTTATTCCACCCTCGCTCTCTCTTTTTGTCTCTCTCTCTCTGTCTCCCTCTGCATCGAATCCCTTGTCCTTCTTGTTATTGATGGTATATCATGGCATGTGTATACTAAGTGGTGTGTGTGCGTGCGTGTGTGTTCTTGCGCGCGCGTGCGTGCATGTGTGTACTACTGGTCGCCATTGAGCGTATTTGGACAGTATCGTTTGCCATGCATTTTCGCAAGGAAGCCAGCTCGTCACATTCGTCCTTTTGCAACGCACAACGGTCGGATTACTCGGCGCGTCGTCGGAAAGAGTGTGTTGTGCGTGTCCAAGACAGAGAATTGAAAGATGGGTAGTTCCCTTTCTGTCATTCCCGATTCTCTACGCGGGTCGTGGCGACCCGATCCAGTTCTCCCTGTGTCACCGAGCGCGTTCCACTACCCGCAAAGTGCCTACTCGCAAACGTCAGACAAAACAAACACACGTTTGCTTCGATATAATATATCGCAGATCCCCCGTGGGGGATCCAGGCCATCTGCCAGTCACTTTGCGAGCAGTGGAACGCGCTCGTCTACTGTGTGTCTGACGATCTGCCGCACGGTGCGCGGATCCCGCCCCGTCGGGCAGTGGCCGCCGGCCCTGCCCGTGGCCAGTCCCTGAGCCCACTTGCTCCCGCGGGCCGCGGCGACCCCTCGGTGCTCCCGGCGCCTGTGAGTGTTGCTCCTTGGCGGGGCTTTTTCCATCACTGCCTTCGGATGCGACTCCTGGGAGGTCAGATTCTTGACGCTTCGCGTATCCCCACCAGCCCCGCGCGCTCGGGAATTTAGTCGCGGCCGCAGCCCGACCGCGACTGTTCGCCGCTGGCGCTTCCGCCTGCGGCTGTAAAAAGAAAAAAAAAAAATCCCCACCAGCCCATCCTACACCAGGCACTCGAACGAAGGGCGCCCTCCCCTTCGGGGAGGGCTAAACCCCTCCCCGAAGGGGAAGAAGGAGGGGTGGAAGAGGAAACGCTCTAAACCACCGACGCCCAGAGGGCTGGTGGGATTCTGATTTTGCCCTGCTCCGAAGTCCAGCTTAATCCGGCTTGATCCTGCCTCATCCGGCTTCATCCCGCTCAATTCCGCTGAATCTGGCGGAATCCCGCTTGATCCGAGGCCCACTCCGGCGTAACAGCCCCCCAATGGGGCGTAATCTTCCTTACTCCTGCCGTCGAAGACCTCCCAGTAGTGGCCTCCTAAACTACCGCCAAACGGATCGATCTTCGGGGAACTCGGCGGGCGGCGGGTATGGACATGCTCGGGCCCTGGGGGGACCACATCGATCCATATATCCACCGCATGTCGAGGTCCCCGAAGATCGGTCTCCCAGGCGGTGGTGATGGATAAGTCTCCGCTTGTGCTTTGCTTCCAGCCTTGGCCTGTCTCCTCCATTCCTCCCCGTGGCGCGCCTGCGGGCCCTCTTTTAGCGTTCCCGCTGGAGTTATTCTGGCCGAGTCTCGTGGCCTCGCCTGCCGTTGCGGATCATTATCCCATTGGTCCCGGCATCGTTTGCGTGTTCTGTTGTCGCATTGCCGTTTCCGGGGGTCGCATTGTTTGCCAGTTTGCTCGCAGACTCCGCGAGGCTCTGTCTCCCTGGGCTTCCCTTGCGACGTACGGCTGACGTGTCTCAGGTTGCCGCCTTGGGCCATTGGATACAATGCATGGGCAGACCTTCAGATCTGGCCAGTCCAGGCCAGCTCTGCTGGATCGCCCTTGGTGTCTCAACCCTGGCAGATCTGCAGCGTGCGCGGCTGCGTCCAACCAGAACTCACAGGTCGCCGCCCTCTGCCGTTGTTTCAGCACATGGGCATCCTTTTTCATCCTCTCCCCATATCGGCGTCGGCCGCTTCATTGTCGATTTCAGGCCTGCCCGCCGCTTTTGGCTCCGCGTGCCCGCCGCCTCGCTGGACAGCGACCTGGGGCCCCAGTCGTTTGCGCCGTGCCGCCCCCCCCTCAGGACGGTTGGAGCGTATCTTTTGATTATGTGGCGATGACAACCGTCATTGGGGGGGCGAAGGGGGCCGGTGACGTCGCGTTTCGCGCTGGCGGCGTCTGGGAATGCCTAGACATTACCCAGGACGGGTAGCAGCAGCACGTAGGCTGCGATCTGTACTACAGCGCCTGTGTACACCACAGTGCCTGCGTGCACAACAGCGCCTATGCACAACACAGCAGCCGCGTGCAACACAGCGCCAGTGTGAACCACAGTGCCTGCATGCATCACAGCGCTTGTGCACGCCACACCGTTTGCTAAACCACATCAGCAATGCGCACCACAGCACCAGTGTACACCACAGTGTCTGCGTGCACCACAGCGCCCCTGTACACCACGGCGCCTTGTGCACCACAGCAACCGTGCGCAACAAACAAAAAACCATTGATGTATATACACATATATAGATATGTATATATATGTATGTATATATAGATACGTTCAGAAGGACCCTTATAACAAAATGGAGCGCCTGTGGATTCCACTGAAAACACTTGTTGTATGTAGGATATGGTAAAGCATCTTTATTGGAAAATGAGGATTCCTGGAATCCACGAGTTCTCCAAAGGAGGGGGGAAGGGGGGAAAAACAGGAGGTCCCGTGCCTTCGGGATCGGGGCGCGCACAAAGACAGGGGCGGGGCCGTCCTGAAAGAGTTCGCTTGAGGCGCGGAGCAATGCGGAGGCAGTGCAGTGAGAGGCGCCGTGGCATGGGAGCGCGAGGAGGGAGGAAACTCGCATTCAATTTTCAGCACTCACCTTGCGTGGTGTTTCGCTGTCCGCGGCAGATCCTCACTTGCGTGTTCCTTCTACCTGTCCTGTGCACGGAGGCGCTGTGGTGCACACGGGCGTTGTAGTGCACGCGGATGTTGTGGTGTTGTACACAAGCTCCGTGGTGTGCACAGGCGTTGCGGTTCACGCAGGCGTTGTGGTGTACACAAGGGCTGCGTTGCAGACGGCCGCTGCGATGTACAAAGTTGCTGTGGTGTACACAAGCGATGCGGTGCACGCAATCACTGTGGTGTACAAGCGCGGCGCTGCACATGGTTATTGCGGTGTACACAAACGCTGTGGTGCACATGCGCGCGGTGGTGCATGCGAGCAGTGTGGAGTACACAGGCGCTGCGGTGCAGATCGCCGCGTACATGTTGTTCCTACTTCGCCTCGGTCATCCCTAGGCATTCCCAAACGCGGCCGGCGCGGAACGTGACGTCACCTCAGGGGGGGTGCAGGGCCGTGCTGTCCGTGGCATTGCTGGGCGGGGCCACTGCACCCCTGCCACCTGCTGCGCCGCTTCCCCACTGGCAGGCTATTGGCGGGATCAGCCCCCCCCCGCCTTTCCACACCCATCCGCGCAAGCTCCAGCAGGCAGCGTTGCCCGCCCCCTCCAGCCGGCTTTGGCCATCCCCGCTGCCTTTTGCCGCCTGGGTTCTTACCGCCTTTTGGCCCCCCACTGGACCCGGACGTCGTCAACGTGGCTTTTCGTTATCTATCTCGGCACTGTGCCTCTTCCGCTTCGCGCACTGTAGCCCCTGCTCCAGCCCCTCGACACGGCCGTGACACCGCCCCGCGCCTGCTGCAAGGGGCGCCGCACTGGCTGGCCGCACCGGCCGCTCCACGGCGACGCACCTCGCGATGTGGGTGCCTTCCCCTCCCTCCCTCTTCCCTCGCGGCCACATTTGCCTGTCTTTGCCCCCTGCCGCCATTTAATTTGCGCTTTCCGTTGCCAAGACCGACTGAGCGCGCGCGCGCGGAAAAGTTAACATCGTGTGCGTGTGCGTGCGCGCACGCGGGCAGGCGGGCGGGCGCGGGCGCGCGCGCGCGCGCGCGTCCGCGCGTGCGTGCGTGCGCGCGCGTGCGCGCGTGCGTGCGAGCGCACGAGCGAGCGTGCGTGCGAGCGCACGAGCGAGCGCGCGTGCGTGCGTGCGCGCGTGCGTGAGTGCGCGCGTGCGTGCGTGCGTGAGTGAGTGCGTGCGTGCGTGCGCACGTGCGTGCGTGCGCGCGTGCGTGCGTGCGTGCGCGCGCGGTGGTCGTTCGCGTGCGCGTCCGTGTGCGCGTGCGCGTGCGTGTGCGTGTGCGTGCGCGTGCTCGTGCGCGTGTGCCTGTGCGTGTGCGCGTGCGTGTGCCCGTGCGCGCGCGCGCGTGCGTGCGCGCGTGCGCGTCCCCGTGCGTGCGTGCGTGCGTGTGCGCGTGCGTGTGCGCGTGCGCGCGCGCGTGCGCGTACGTGTGCGCGCGCGTGCGTGTGCACGCGCGTGTGCATGCGCGCTTGCGCGCGCCGATGCGGGCGCGGGCGCGGGCGCGGGCGCGCGGGCGAGCGTGTGCGCGCTTGTGTGTGCGTGGGCGCGCGCGCGTGCGCTTGCGTGCGCGCGCGTGCGCGCGCGTGCGCGCGTGTGTGTGCGTGTCTGCGTGTGCGCGGGCGTGCGCGTGCGTGCGTGCGTGTGCGCGCGCCTGTGCGCGTGTGTTTGTGTGGTTGTATGTGTGTGCTTGAGTGTTTGCGTGTTGTTGCGCGCGGGCGCGCGGGCGCGCGCGCGCGTGCGCCTGTGCGTTCGCGCGCGCGTGAGCGCGCGCGTGCTTGCGTATGTTTGCACACGTTTGCGCATGTCTGCGTCTGTTTGCGCGGCCACGCGCGCGCGCGGGCGGGCGGGCGGGCGGGCGAGCAGGCGCGCGCGCGCGAGGTCGCGCGCGCGCATTTGCTGGGGGGGCGAAGAGACGGGGGCGCTGCACTTGGCTTCCGTCGCCCCGTCGCTGCGCGCGAGGCCGACGCCGCGAAAAGTGCGTGCGCATGTTGCACGTTGCGCGTTGCACGTTGCACGTTGCGCTCTGCGTTCGCGCCGCGAGTTGCGCGTCGCGCGTTGCGCGCCAGGGGCGCAGGCCCGCAGGGCGTTGCGCGGGCGCAAATCGTAGGTCGGTCGATGGGCCAGCAGCGCAGCGGCGCGCGCGACGCGCGACGCTTGTTGCCCGACCGCGGGGCGCG